CTTAAAAGCTTTTGCACAACAAAGGAAACTATAAGCAAGGTGAAAAGACAGCCCTCAGATTGGGAGAAAATAATAGCAAACGAAGCAACAGACAAAGGATTAATCTCAAAAATATACAAGCAATTCCTCCAGCTCAACTCCAGAAAAATAAATGACCCAATCCAAAAATGGGCCAAAGAACTAAACAGACATTTCTCCAAAGAAGACATACAGATGGCTAATAAACACATGAAAAGATGCTCAACTCTAGTCTTTAGCTGCTCACAAAGCAGGCCCCATCTCCGCTGTGCTTCAGTTTGGCACTCTCATCACTACTCCCTTCTACCGTCTCTCACAGATGCAGGGGTTTGTTTCTCCCCACAACGGTACGTCACTCAGGACCTCACTTCCCACAGCGAAGGACCAGGTGTCTCAAAGCTCCATAAAGACACACCTCACGAAGGGAATGTTTGTGGTCCACGGACTCTATCCACTTCATCTGAACGGGACCACCTGGCTGTGGGGACGGGCCACGTGGACGCAGTGTCTCCCACCAGCGCCAAGCTGAGTGTGTCCCGCTGTAACGGAACTCTCCTCTAGCTCCCTCACAGGCCTGCACTCACTTGTGCAAAACCTCCACTGCAAAGACCGTGAGAATCGGCTGAGTGTCATCTGTAGAATTCACTTTATTTACCAAGTAAGAAAATAACTAAGTAGAACAGGAAGTAAAGAGATAGAAAGAAATCAACATCTTCAAGATTTTTATTCCTACCAAGATGCTTCTGTAATACCAGAAAAAAAGACAATTACCTAAACAAATATTGCTGAAGAGAATTCCTGCTTTCTATTCACTTTACTAAACAAGGATTACTTAGAAGCTGAGAAACAATATAGTACTAAGAGCTATCAGGCAAATAAAATACACAGAATCAACACCACCAGGAGGCCCACTGCAATCACATTTTTGCTCAAGATTTCATCTGAATTTATTCACTCATAAGGTTAACCTCCCAATGAGTAGGCAAGATTGTAGAATGCTATTGTGTGCTCCCAGCTGATCTGTTCAGCAACTGAGATACTTCAAAATCAAAATAAAATAAGTGTACTCGCTCATGCTACTACCCCTGTAGCAAACGTAAACAAATAAGAATTTATACAAATGTGAAATTTACTATTTTATATGAGCTCCAAACGTGGAATATTCTGTGCTAGAAAAAGAATTCTTCACAAAGCTTTTTAATATTATAAAAACATCACTGATGAAATGAAAGTGAAGTAACTCAGTCATGTCTGACTCTTTGTGACCACATGGACTGTAGCCCACCAGGCTCCTCCATCCATGGAATTTTCCAGGCAAGAATACTGGAGTGGGTTGCCATTTCCTTATCCAGGGGATCTTCCCAACCCAGGGATCGAACCCAGGTCTCCCACATTGCAGGAAGACACTTTGCCGTCTGAGCCACCAGGGAAATCCACTGATGAAGTGAAATATTGTAAACCAAGACCTTGAAGGAAAATGGCTTGATTTCATACACAGAGTCTGATTTCCCAGCTCTGGGGTCTGGTGCATGCAGGTGACCTCACCATTTTCCTCACTGTAAAGCAGATGTAACTAACACCTGTATTCCCCTCCCAGGTTGCTTGTGAGGATTTCATCAGGTCACAGATTTAATAACTCAGTGAAAACCCCTGCAGTCTGGATCTCAAGGAAGATCAGCTATTTTACTCTTGAAAACACTCTTGCTTGCTCTAAGCCACCACATTCTCGTATTTTCTTCCTCCTATCTTCTTCCTTCTCAGCTCCCTATCTGTCTTTGTTTCTTCCCCAACATCAAATGTTGAGAGTTCTCAGATCATCAAGAATTTAGGTGCTCTTCTCAGTCTCTTCTTTCTCTCAGGGCTCTAGCCTACTCCCATGATTTTAATTATCATCTAGAGGACAAATCTCAAACACATTTCTAATTCAGATCTGAACGCACACCTGCTAAGTCACTGTCCACTTGGATGGCATGGTGAAACCCTGAGTTCAGTCACTGACTCAAGGCCAAACTCACCATTTCAGCCATTCAAATGTAAATGCTGCCTAAGCCAGTAAGCCGCTGGAAAAAACACGGAACCCTGGGAGTTATCCCTGAAAAGTCCTGTTGCTCCCTTTTCAGTCTGTAACCCATTTCCTACTCTTTTCGTTTTATGTCTGAAATATACTCTGTTGTCTCCATGGCGCCATCCCCTTCTGAACCCACAGCCACTAACAATTAACTCCCAAACTGGTTTCGCTCAAACAGTCCCCCCTCCTCCAGTCCCACTAGAGTGATATTTTAAAGCGCAAGTATAATCGCTCCTCTACCTACATTTCTTTACATGATCAGTGAATAAGTAAAACAGAATAAGGAGTAAACGCTGTGAAGCACTAATAAAGGTGTGCACATGTCCTCCATCCCCACGGTCCTCTATGTTCCAAACGCATTAAAATGTTTTACTCTAAAATGCCACTCTCTCCTTCAAGGCCTTCATTCACATCCACCCTGTTCCCTCTTCAGGAATGTGACAAAGGGCCCTCCCTTCCCCTGCCTGTATCCCCATTCCCAGCTGTTTCTTTCCTATCACTCAGCTCTCAGTTTAACCAATACTTCCTCCAGAAGGCATTGCGTGGTTCTCTGGGCAAGGTCAGTTCCATTAATCACGTTCTCACAAAGCACCGTGCACTTCTGCTCCACAACCCTCAGTGCATTAGTAAACACACAGCAGATAATAACCGACAGCAGAACAGGGAGCTCGTCTGTCCCGTTTACAGTTGCACCCCTTAACCTCATCAAATGCCCTAAGTGGGCCACAGAGATACTGACAGACGTTTGCTGAATTAATGAACACACAATGGTTCTGGTTTCGTTCTTGACTTGATAACGGCCCATAATTGGTGGGTAAGTGCACATAAAACTCTAATTCAAGGCAGACTGTGATAGCTCTTCACAGGAAATAAACATAGAGATTACTTGATCCTCTAAGAAAAAAATCAATTCTGGAAGGGAACAGACGTATAAGGAAAGACCCATGTAAAGGAAGGCTTCTTTCTGGTGCAGAGATATGAAACAAGCCATGGAGAGCTAGCAAGACTTCAACAAGTAGGAAATATTCCAATTTCAGACAGAAGGGAGAAGGATAGAAGGAGAAATATTTCTGCAGGAGAATGAAAACACTGCTCAAAGGAGAAAAGGGTTTGTCATTGATTGGAAAACCAAAACAGAGAAAGGATGGGGGGAGTATGACAGATGATGAATTCTGTTTTAGAAACTCAAATTTTAAGTCCTTACTTGATGTTGAGAATGTAGTTAAACATGGAACTAGGAAAGAAGTTGCCAGTAAATTTCAAAAATTATTAGGCTCATAGAAATTTTAATTGATCTATAAGGAATTAAACATTAATGCAGAGGCATGCAAAAATGTCTAAAGTTATCCACAAACACATATTTTTATGAAGAATAAAAAATACAAAAAAATAAAAGCAATTTTATAATTACTGCTTCAATTTTCAACATACTTACCTAATTTTTATTTTATGTAGGTGTTAGGGATACTTACCATATTTTTGCAATGATTTTACCCTCTTTAAAACTACTAATGTCCTACCATTGTTGGGATGGAAGAAACTCACTTATACTGACTTTTTCTCTTTTCAGTAGGAGAATAGTATCTTTCTTCTGTTTAAAAGAATTCCAGTCTTTGTAATAGGCTCTGTGCAAAAATTTTAAATGACGTACAGAATTTTCAAAAGGTCACTCTAATTTCAAAAAGTTAACATCTGAAATTACATTTATTATCTTTAATTATCAAGAGAATATATGAAGAATAATAAAATGTAATACTTACTTTTGCTGCACCTATTTGTTCTTTGCGAAATTTCTCAAGTGGTGCAATTAATACATCATTAGCATTTTGAATCTGAAATTAAAAATACAAATACATTAAATTCTGTATAATTTATGCAAACAATGTTGAAAAAAAGATATGTCCCTTATTCCACTTACTTAAATAAATGGTTTTTTGTTCCCTTTTGCTTCTATAAATGAAATAAAAAATACCTCACGCATGTCGTATAGTCTTTTTCTACTTTATAATTAAATTTTCACAAATTATTCCACTTGTGAATAATGTGAAAACAAGTACACATGGCGAGATCTTAAATATTTAAACTTCATATTCTAAAATTTAACTACACATCAGACATTAAATTTTAAGATACCTTTAATTATACTGGTTTAATGTAGTCAGTTCAAGCATCATTTGAAAATTGAGCCATATAAAAGCTTTCCATCTTGCTGCTAGAATATTGTAGTTGTACAGCTGCAAGATAAAATCAGGCTTATTTTTTCCCTATTTAATTAGATTCCTTACACTTGGGCATTGCCTGCATGTTCTCATAATATTTCCATCCACACTAAAACAGTAACTGATTTTATTTCAACGAACAATGTTTTAGCCCAAAACTCCAAACTGGTTTCACTTAAACTTTCAAACAGATAAATCTTTAAACTGGTCTGTACAAATACTGTGAGGGGTTTCAAGCTAGGTCAGGGGCAGTGACTGGATACAGAAGACATATTTCTAAGGGAAGCAACATGCTGGAAGGAAATCTTGATTTTTTAAAAAATCACTTTAAAAAGCATTAACATTAAACACAGGATCTTAAATGTTTTCATGACAAAAAGAAATAATAATGTGGCAAGATGGAGATATTAGCTAATGTCATGATATTAATCATTTTGCAATACATAAATGCATCAACCAACATATTATACAATTGAAACTTCCATAATGAGAATTATATACCAATAAAGTTGAGGGGGGGAGGGGGAAGGTAGGCCCAGTTAACAAAATTATCATTCATTCTACCACTGTGATAATACTATGACCTATTACAGAGTTAGCAAATGCTAAGATGAAGAGAAAAATCTATTTTTCAAATAAGTCACTATTTTAAAATAGGTTAAAGCAAATATAGAAGCTCCTTATATTCTTACAATTTAAAATGTTTGACATTATATCACAATTTTAAAATTTCAATAAATGGGTTTTACTTTCAATTATTTTCACTAAGGAGAAGGCAATGGCAACCCACTCCAGTGTTCTTGCCTGGAGAATCCCAGGGACGGGGGAGCCTGGTGGGCTGCTGTCTATGGGGTCGCACAGAGTCAGAAACAACTGAAGCGACTTAGCAGCAGCAGCAGCATTTTTACTAAACTGGTTATTTTCTAGTAGAGCTTTATTTCTTAAATTCCATAATCTAACACACAAAGACTGTATTAACAAAAATAAAAACTAAATAATGCTTCCCATGATTCTGTCATTTTCCAATTTGTAGGAAAATGAGATGTCCTCTTGAAAAAAGTACCTAATCCTCCATTGTGAAAACATACAAAGTAGATCAATACTCAAAATCCTTCCCAAGATGTTGAGAGCCACCACAGATACCTCTGACACCCATCACCTACCTCCTATTTGTGAGTTTGGACAGGCATTCATCCAGATACACTGAGCAGGCATTTTACTACAGAGAGATGACTGTAAACAGTAGCAAACTAGCTCACTTTTAATTCCCACTCTCTAAATCCTCTTTGTCCTGGTGAAACTCCAAATATATTGAAACACACACATATATATTTCTCCAGATCTTACAGAGATAATAAATAACAGATTCTGCCTTTAAAGTTCACACAAGGAAAGACAGTGTCATGGACACTTTAGTGTAATTTGGAAAAATAGCAACAATAAAGGCCAACAGTTACCGAATGTCTGCTTTATGCTGGAAACCAGCATGGCCTAATATATTTAAAGGTAATGATCTTAAGCAAAGAGATATTTCTCAAGTGGTGAAAACTCAACAATGAGGTTGAATAAGAAGATATACAGCACAACTCTCAAGTACATTATTTAAAATCAAGAATGGCTGACTTTCAACCCAATTCCATAGCTTATGAACTGCTATTTAAACATTCTGATCACCAGCTGTAACACCTAACAACTTGATTTTATGGATGAATCATGAAATGTAAAACACTTAGTTCTGTGCCTTACATCCAGAAAGTACTCAAAATTTAGTTTTTAATATCTCCAAATAAACATATATAACAAATATCTGTCTGTAATGATATACCTGATACACTTCTATACCCGAATCTTCTACACTACCCTTTTGGTTGAAGTACTTCTATGTGCACATTCTGAGAAGGTATTTTCCTATGAAAGTCACAAAAGGCAGACGGCCTAGACATTCCCACATTCAATCACCAGGTGCTTACATGTGTGCCAAGCACACTACTGAGCTATGTGGGGAAGGGAAAAAATTAAGGCATGGGCTATATCTTCTAGAAAGCTGATGCCTACTTGTGAAAAGGGGAAAAAAATATTCATTCAACAAGTATTTAATGTCATAAACTCCTGCTAAAATTTTCGGAATATTTGAGACAAAACTGATCATAGTACGTTGAGAATAGTTACACAATTAACTATGCAGAATTTATCACAAACACATCAGAATTTTGACAAGAGAAAAGATCCATGAGAACTAAATAAGTCAAGGTAGTATTTGGATAGTGGAGGTGAACAGGAAGTGGATATGAACTGGATACACCAAAGAGAAAAAATACCCTGGGAACAGGCATCACCATAAAAAAGGCAAGAGATAGAATTACGCAAATGGCATGTGGGAAGGGGGCAGCAGAGGGAAAAATAGAAGCATTTACTGCACATTGATTAACAGTCCACCCCAATTGTGAGTGCACCACCCAAGCTACAGGACTTCAGTTACCTTTTTAAAAATGGAAATGGCACCGTGAATATAAAGTATGTTGAAAAGTTTTGGCACACAGCAGCTTCCATGTATTATTAGCTAATAAAATCATCTAACTGGAGAAAAGTGTGTAATTACTATTAGAAAATTTAACTGCAATAAGGAAAGGATACCCATAATCTAAGCAAAGTAACCCGAACATGGAAATCACTGCTGGTTCCTAAAAAGAGGATTAATGTAAAACCTTGTTCTAGGAAGTAACATGCAGGATACTTTGAGAATGAAGAGATAAGGACAAGACATGCCAGTTGAATGGCTGGGAGAAGAACACAGGTTTGAAAAGACGACCAGGTCAGAGGCCTGCGGCGTTGACAGACGGGGAGCAGGGACTGCAGTGGCGGAGGAATCAAAGGCGACACTAATTTTCAGCCTCAGGCGCTGGGACTCTAGCATCACTTTAAGAACTGGGGTAAATGAGGTAGGGAGTGGATCTGGCAGGGAAGAATAATGACAATGAATTTCACTTTGCACCTATTACTTTTGATGCCATGAAAGATTCACAGAAATATCGTAGCAGAGTATCCCACTTCAAAACATGGAACTAGTCAATACGAATGAAATGTTTTTTTATTGGGAAAGACAAGAAAAGAGAGTGGATGGCGGATCCATGTACTAAGATGCTAGCACTCACATTCATATCCAATAGTTTAAATCTCTGCCACAACTATTCTCTGGCTGTTACGTAAATATGGCCTGGGAATAAAACAAAATGTGAGAATATAAACTTGAGCCAAATGTGATAATTAACAACCACTCAGTGGGGCAAGTATTACTTCCTATCTCTAGTTTTTCCATATTTCTTCATCTCTTTCTTTTGTTTTTGGATTTGCTCAATTTTTTTCTTTCTTCCCCCTGCTTTCATTCTATTAATGTGAAACTGAAGGAATAAAAACATAAGTTCCAGAGGTACTAAACAGAAAAAAAAAAAGGGGGAAGAAAAACATCCAACAGAGTGGTAGAGATAACAAGAGATATGATTTGTTGAGTGTTTAACGTGTGCCAAGTACTATGCTAAGCCCTTCACAATATCTAGATTAAAGTTGATTTCATATGAGTAATGAAGTTCAAAATATAACAATCATCTGGAATATATTAAGAATGTGAATGCTGAAGTTAGACCCTGTTCCATTTCGAATCTCAGCACCTAAACTGCTAAGACTCAATGCCTTCATCTTGGTATCTCTCAAGAATTTGATAAAAATCAAAGGAAAAATACACATATTTAAAACATCGCAAGCATAGATTCAGCATATGGCAGGCTTTCAATAAATGTTTGTTTCATCACAGAATTCACAATGTCAACTATTGAGTTCAGAGTCATCCTCAGCAGTCTGAGAATTTCCAAGATGATTTAAAAGGTAAGGGAGAAATTGAAATCCAAATAAATTTAACAGAAACATTTTCAGAGTACCCATCTGCAGTGGTAGATAACAGGAACCTACATTTTCCCATAAACCATAATAACATATGTGTGGCTTTACATCTGACATATGATGCTTTTCTTGTATGCAGTCAATGGGCTGCTGTTCACAATATGTGGATCCAAATTCAAGAGATCAAAATGGAAACACCAACACTCAAAGGGTGCAAAGTGGATTTACAACTCAACTGTCTGCTCCTGACTCTCAGCTTTGAACACCCTCCACGGGACGAATGCCTTTTATCCCAACCCACTGGTCAATCACACGGATGAAATTCTCCAGTTCTGATGTAATCCAAATGTGAAGTAAAGAAGGTATTTAAAATTTAGGTGGGCTTAAAAGGGTTACTGTTACAACTGAATAGAAAATAACATACAGAATGCTAAGAAACCATAATTAGAAATCTGAATCCGGGCTACAACACTGGTGACTTTCTCAAGATTTAAAAAGCAATGCAATTGCTTTTTAAATTGCTAGAGAAATGCAATTCTGGCTCACATGGAACTCTTTCTCCTCAAATTTATGCAGGGGGTTTGATAAAACTCCTTACAAAAGGTAATACTAGAGGATGGGGCGGGGGGGGAGGGCATGGAACCAAGTCACAGAGTTCAGGAGATTCAAACTTCCATAATATTTCTGGAATGTGTTACTTTGTATGACCTCACTAAGAG